ACCTGGACACCCGAAGACTCTTGTTCGACTCGAGGCCCCGCCATCACATGGAATATCAACATTTTTTTTTTGAGTGAGCCTTTCTGTGATAAGTTCAGACTGAGATTCCGCTGCCCGCATTAGCATAAATTTATCCTCAGGTTACCAAGCAGACAAGCAAGGCAGGGTGCGCTTCGTGTACTGAAGATGTGTATAATTTAAACAATCTCGCGAAAACCTTCGTTCGACTCGAGGCCCTGCCATGTTCCTGCCAGCTATCTGTCTTTTTTATTATTTGAATTGTCAGGTTCAGAGCTTACTAGCACTCACTCTTGACTGAGATAGTATCGAGAAATTCCTGAGGGATGACATGGGACCTTCTTCCTCCCACTTTGAAATTATATCAATGTCACTATATCCAGGTACACAATGAGCCAAGGAATGCAGGGAAGCGCACGGTGAGCCTTTCGTCAGATTGAGATTTCCCTGCCCGCATTAGCATATGGTTATCCTCAGGGTACCAAGCAGACAAGAAAGGCATGGAAGCGCACGGTGCGCATCAAGTCCCAATAGATATCTCGCAATGTGGACACCCGAAGACCCTCGTTCGACTCGAGGCCCCGCCATCCGTTCTACAGGCTGTGTCTTTTTATTCTCAGGTTCAGAGCAGACCTTCAGGCATCCAATCATTCAAGGAAACTACTTGCCAGGGAGTTTCTGCGTGTTCCATTCATCTGCAAGTTGTATGTAAGTAAAGAGGGTGCCAGATTCAGCCCTCGTGCAATGTTCAACTCGAGATCCTGCCCATATTATCGCTGTGCACCAGCGGTGCGTATTTTTTCCCTCTGTACTCTGGTCTGTGTCCTTGTACAGTAAGGATACAAAGATATCGTTGTAAGGAAGGCAGGGAAGCACACGATGTGCACCGGATTCCAATCTTGGGTTGTAGTTGTCGAATTTGCACTCCCGAAGACCCTCGTTCAACTCGAGGCCCCGCCATTCCTGGATAAATAAGTCGTAGACTCTTTTTCTTCTGTCTTCTTTCCAAATCCCGTCTGTAGTATGGACTACTACTACTAGTCGCATATCCGGGTATCCAATTAGCCAAAGAAGACAGGGAAGCGCACGGTGTGCATCGGGTCCCAATCTTGTGTGACAGCTGGGATTCCCGAAGCTCCTCGTTCAACTCGAGGCTCTGCCATGATATTAGCAGCTGGCACGTTTTTATCATTATCTGGATCGGATTTCATATTTTCCCGCAGAATCAGCGTATATACATACTGTATGGACTTGGATGCTATACTCAGCTTTCCAAGAAGGTAAGGAAGGCAGGGAAGCGCACGGCGCATCGGGTACCTATAAGTAATATTCGGCGATCTCGACACCCGGAGACCCTCGTTCGACTCGAGGCCTGCCATGCTGCAAGAGCTGTGACTTTTTATTATTCGAATTACATATTGTCAGATTCAGGTTCAGCGAGATATTTGGACTAAGGGAAGCTCGTCGGTGAGAGACGTAACTCCGGGTCGAACGCGCGCGTGTGGATGCCCGGGGTGTGGCAATCTACGCGCGAAACCAACACTCGCCATTTATTCGCGTCGGGCGTTCATAGTTTATACTCGACGCACCGGCGCACTCTGACGCTGGGGTACGTGTACGTACATCCCGCGCACCGTACCGCAACACATCGAAAACGACGACGACGCAAAAAAAAGTGAAGAGCGTCGAGCGTCGGGGGGCGATGCTGCGCGACGTGGAGCAGCAGCCGACGTAAAGCCGCGCGCATCCCCGCCAGCCGCCCGCGCGGGAAAGGATGTGGGTATGTCAGGGATGCAAAGCAAATTAGGATATGCGGAGAATGCGGAGGACTGGATGGAAGAAAGCCGAGAAGATGGCGGGATGAGATGGATGTCGGGGACGAGATGGATGAGAGAAAGGGAAAACGGAAAGCGAGAAAGGAAGCGAGAGGGATGAGATGAAGGAAAGAGGGAAAGGAAAGCCTGGAAAGTGGCGGGTGAGATGGAAGAGGGGAATGAAAGGAATGAAAGGAAAGAAGGTAATGGAAAGCAGCGGAGGAAAGGCGACAGGCGAAAGGGGTAACCTGTTTTTTTTTTTTTTGCTTATATGGTTATAACAGAGCCGGGGTCGGGGTCGCGGATGGGCGTCTGCATACGGTGTAGACGGACGGCATCGCGGCGCAGCTCGTCCGTGCATCGGACGTCGTGCGTAGATTCCCGACTTCGACTTCGCGCCCGACGACGACGACGACAAGGACAAGGACGTCGTGCGCGGGCGCGGGTAACGGACCGCCGACCGCGACACACGCACCCCGAATCCGCGCGAACGCTGGGGGTAGATTGACGATTGACACGGGCGAGGCGGGGTGAGCTGCAGATATAACGCCAACGACGAGGGCGATGGGGAGGGCGCGAATAAGAGGAGGGAGGAGGGACGGCCAGAGGAAGGAAGGAAAGCAAGCGAAGAAAAGCGAAGCAAAGAAAGGCAAGCAAAGATGGTATTTCCACGGACGCTTTTTCTACGCAACGCAACGGAACGCGATTCTAGTACACCTGGAATGAATAAACGAAGTCAGCTTTCCTCTGTGTACGCTATCATGCGAAGGTGGCGTACCTCCATTCCCCCTTCCTCCGTAGCCGAATGAGGGTGAGCGCGGGAGTTAGCGCAGCTTGGCAAAGACCTGCGGAGCGGCGCAGGCTTCGGAGCAGTGCATCATGCTGTGGGGCGGGTTAGCGTCGGCGGCGCGCGGGATCATTGCAGCGCGAGGACGTACTGGACTGTTTGTTGTAGAGGACGAGAGTCAACGGTTAGCAAGACGAGAATGGGATAGCGAACACGGGGGTGGACGTACACCTGCGAGCGCCGGTCAGCTCCATGCGCACTAACAGGAAGAAAGGAAGAGAGAGAGAGAAAGCACGTACATCTCCTCAACACAATCCTCGCCCTTGAACCCCTGCCCGCTCTGCACCTTCTCCTGGCACTTCTCAAAGTGGTGCTTCAGCGGCGCGCATTCGGCGCGGGCTTCGCACGCCGCGCGGATCCCGGGGTGTGCCTGGCTTGTCGTCAGTATCCGCGCACCTCTTTCTCTTCGTATGGAGGATAAGTATAGAGACGCACATCCTCAGGCTCCTCCTCTTCCGCCTCTTCTTCCTTCGGCGCCTCCTCCTCGCCGCCCTCCTCGTTGCCGCTCGCGTCCTCCTTCGCGTTCCCGTTGTCAGCGGGCTTCTCTTCCTCCGAGTCGGCGTGCGTGGTCGGCAGAAGGGACGAGATGAATGAGCCGAGTGCCATTTTGTTTTCTTATTCGTGTGTTGATGCCGAAGTCGGGTCTTTAGGGCTTTCGAGCCGCGAGAGCGAGATGTGGTGCGCTGGAAGAGGTGTGACGGTAACGTGGGAGGTGTGACCCGACATGATCCGGCGTGTCCTTTTTGCTTCCGACCACTGCCAGTGATTTAGCAACCACGAGTCGGAACGCGAACGAAACGCACACAACCCAAGGACGACACTACCTTTAGCACTGGCTTGATAGTGGATGGTCTGCACCTGCTTCACCCAGGTCCTCCTGTATACTTAGATATGGCAGGAGCTGCCCGTTCGACTCGGGCTCGAGCCTTTATGTGGATTTGGCACAACTTTTTTTTTCCCCAACGGCTCTACAGCGGAGGGTCTGCATTTACTCCAACGTTTCGAATCGGCATCGGGCCTTCATACTTCGGGTTCACAGTCTTTTTGGCGTGAGCTTGCAAGTCCAGACTTTTTGCGCGCATCCATTCATTCAGTGTTCGTTGTCAGCTTCCTCAACCTACTCACCGTCCAACCCACTAGCACGGTGCATAATCTGAGACTATCCAATAGCGGCCCGAGGGCAGTAGATGGGGGCTCAGGTCTTACCACAATAGGATACAGTAAATCTTTCTCAAGTCCCCTCCCATACGACCACACAAGTAACTACATTAGTAGCTGCGAACGTGAACTCCTGTACAACCCGAGGAACGCACCAACCTTAATACCGGCTCGATAGCGGATGGTCCGCACCTGCTACATTTGCAACCGGAAACCCGGCATATTTACAAGTAGGAGTCCCCGTTCGACTCGGGCTCGAGCCATGTCTCGTAGCCACCACCATTTTTTATGATCCACTGGCTGTTGATGTTCATTGTCTGACAGAGTGTACTTCCGTCGCTGGCCACTCGGCATCCTTCCTGTCTTCTGTGAACTCGCATCTTCCTTATCAACCCGGGCCAGCGGCAATTTCTTTCATGCCTACATCACCTTCAGTCCCATTGATTTAGTTATCATGCAAGGACTAATTCCAGAGCTAATCTAGATACAGAAGCTCGGTAGCGGATGGTCCGCACCTGCTACATTTACAACCGGAAACCCGGCATATTTGCAAGCAGGAGTCCCCGTTCGACTCGGGCTCGAGCCTCTCAATTGTAATTGTTGAACATGCCTTTTTTATTGCTTCTTTTGCCTAACTTGCCTTTGTCTGTGCAGCAATCTGCCAGTGACATAGTGCACTTCGATCGCCGCATCGTTCCTGTCCCAGGTGGATCTACATCTTCCTCCCTTATTCATTGTGGATCCCCCGGGCCGGGGCCAGCCAGTGGCGATTTCTTTTGTACATCAATCCCACAGATTTAGTGTAATTGTGTACAGAATAATTCCAAAAGCTAACCTAGGTAAGGAAGGCTTGATAGCGGAGGGTCCGCACCTGCTCCTTGTATGTTTCTCTCATCTTGGTTGATGCAGGAGCTGCCCGTTCGACTCGGGCTCGGGCCTTGGATCTTGGGCACATATTTTTTTTCCTGTCTACTGAGTCCAATCTTTTTTACTTATCCAGTGTGAATTCCAATTTCCGATCCAGGATACTGTATTGTCATACATGTATATACATACATCCTGTACCTGCCAGTGCTTTCATTGTGTGGACGCACATGTATTCCAGAGCTTGTCCAATGCTGTCAATTGTGTGTACATATTTCAGAGCCAACCTAGATACAGAAGGCTTGATAGCGGATGGTCCGCGCCTGCTACCCATGTGCCTTGAACCAATTAGCACCAGCAGGAGCCGCCCGTTCAACTCGGGCTCAAGCCTTCAGAGGAAATTTCGGATTTTTTCCCTCTTCTGGTGCCCTATATCCGTTTTCGATCATTAATAGGTACTTTGATGCACTGCACCGCAACCCGCCAGCAACCTCGGCCAGTATCCGAGACATCTTTGATGTTCGTGTGCATAGTAGTAAGTACTTAGATCCCCACCAGTGCTGTTAACTGTGTGCATGTATATGTATTCCAGAACTAACAATTGGATATGGTTTGATAGTGGATGGTCCACAGCTGCTGCCTATAGTATCGCCCCAGGATGTCGCTGGCACGTGCCACCCGTTCGACTCGGGCTCAAACCTTGGGAGTGAATGGTTATTGTTTTTTCTTCTCCATTATTCTCTCCTCCATTTATATTCTTCTTCTCATTCCCTCTCCTACGCACCACCCTCGGGTCCCCCCACTTGATCGCTGGGATCCATCATCGGACGTAAGTCAACCTACTGGCTCGTTCTTGGGAAATCCACATACCTGGCTTGTTCATACCACTACTACTCTTTTCTTGGCTTGCCACCGAGTCGCTTTCATCATCCATTGAACCTAGATGCACGTCAATCCCACATATAGTGACCAGCCTCAGGCTATATAGTACTTCCAATCACTTGAAACGTGCATACCATTCGAAATTCTGCATGCAAACACTCTTTCCTGATTTGGTACAGACTTGATAGCGGGTGGTCCGCATCTGCTCCATTTTACACACCTGTCCCGCTGCTATCAGGAGACACCCATTCGACTCGGGTTCGAGCCCTTGTGGAAATTAATTGAAGTTTTTCTCTCTGGTGCCCGATATTCGTTCTTTATCTATTTTTTGGCGCATTAAAGTGGTCCTTGGATGCGCTGAACAGTAATATGTGAGCGTCCTGTCAGCATCTGTGAATTCACAAATACTAGTACTGTACTTGGATCCCACCAGTGCTATTATTTGTGTGCATGTATATGTTGTATTCCACAGCCAACCTGGATACAAAAGGCTTGATAGCGGAGGGTCTGCACCTGCTCCATTTCACACATTTCTACGTTGAGTTAGCAGGAGATGCTTGTTCGACTCGAGCTCAAGCCCTATGGGCAATTCTGACCAACCTTTTTCCTGGTGCCCTGTATTCATTTTTGTCTATTTTTGCGCATAAAAATGCGCGGCGAATCACACCAATTTTTTTGGGCTCATTAAATTGTACTGGGATGAACTACACAGCAATCCACCCCCTGTGGAGTCACAACCGCATGTATCCAGTGTTCTCAATTGTGTGTGCATATGCAAAGGATAACACTGCTATGGAACGGCTTCATTGCGGAGGGTCCGCACCTATAGTCCAATATCTCCCTGGCAGTGGCAGGAGACACCCGTTCAACTCGGACTCGAGCCTTTAAGATTTACGGAGCTCATTTTTTTTTTGGCTCGAGAGTCGATATGAGATTTCTTTTTGTTCGTTGTGAAATGTGAGGCAAAGTTTGCTTTCTTTCTCAACCTAGAGTCCCGCACATATACATACTCCGCTTACACATGTGCTTTCATCCTCGCATCTTTCCTGGCCCCTGTGAATCCACATCTTCCTCCCTTATTCAGTGTGGATCCCCCGGGCCAAGGCCAGCCAGTGGCAATTTCCTTTGTGCTTGCATGATACATCAATCCCGTTGATTTGATGTAATCGTGTACAGACTGAATCCAGAGCTAACCTTAGGATGGAAGGCTTGATAGCGGATAGTCCACACCTGCTCCCTGTTGAATGCTAGTTCTGCACTCAATTGCTTGAGACACCCGTTCGACTCAGGGGCTCAGGCCTTATGGTTAGCTGTTTTTTTGAGAGTGACATTTTTGGCTTGCAAAAATGGCGTGCGCCCGCGCGGAATGGCTTGTTTCGGGCGGGGGCGTGGATTTGGGTGTGGATTTGGGTGTGATCACCCGCCCACGCCCGGCCGATCGGCTTGCAAGCTATTCCGCCAACTCGGTCCCAGCCAAAAAACCAAAGTGGCTTGTGTTCACTGTACATCACGTAGAGCCCTAGCATTGAATTTTAGGTGGCAGACACATTACTATACGTCCCCCACAGGTATCTAGGACATCAATTGTCACATACTTTTTATATTTGGAGAATACTCCCCGTCACCATGAAAAATGATGAGAGCAATTCATGCTCTACATGCAAGCCAGTGGGCTTGTGAGGCTTCATTGATAGGCAAAACTTCCAAGTGTCCACCTGCATTGAAAATATTGGAGAAAGTGTCCGCCTCGACAAATTATTCGCAAAAACAGTGTTCGACTTACCCGACTTGTGAACTACACAAGTTTTCAGTACCTCAAATTGAAATTTGACCAGATTCCTTCACAAAAAAGCTTTGTATACTCAGCAGAGGTGGACCAGCCCTTCGGCATTCATTCTGGGGCATGATTCTTGTTAGTTGACATCGGTCAAACCGGGTCTTGACCGTAACCAACCAAATGGGTGTAAATACTCAATCCTTTGATGTCAACTACCCCACATTTGAATGATTTGGGGCCTTTGGAGAACCAGGATGTGCCAGGAACTTATTGTTTTTCTTCGGCAACAAAGTGGCTTGCGCAAGCCATTCTGTCTGATGCCATCAAGTTACGAAAAGTCGAGGAATCCGTGTCATAATAAGGACAACACCATCTCAGTTATATCTCATTTACCTGCTCCTAGCATGTTGCAGTGAGATCTTGGTGAATTAGCACCGGGTTGACAAAAGTAGAATATGTCAAATGCTATCACAAGCCATTCTGGTGACAAAGTGGCTTGTGCCCGGCATGGATAGAGTTTTTCGATTCAAGCTTTGGAAGTCATTCTATTGCTATTACATTGTTATATGGAGTCACTGAACTCCATATAATAGTTGATTTTATTATTTTCGGTCCAAGTTGTGTTATATACGCTCAATGAACTATTTCTTTGCTGACAGAGCCTAATTTTGTGGCCCTTTATGGAGGGAATTTTACTGCATGACTCGATGCGAGGCAATCTTTCAGTCATGACTCATGGGTAGCCATATGTACCAAATTTTCAACTCGTTGAGACGATATGGGATGGGCGGGTGTATTTGGCGGAATGGCTTGCGCACGTGGTATAAGCTGGCTAAATGGCTTGTGCAAATATCTCACAGAGATTCACCGAGTTCATCGTAACTCGCCTCCGAGGTAGAAAGGGCGCATTTTTGGGTAAATTATCCATGTGTTTCGAGACCAAGAAGTCAATGGGCAATGGAGCCGCATTTAAAATATGCTATTGAATAGGCTGCCAGCACCGTCATTGTGCAAAATGGCTTTCGTTCGGTGTAGAGAAGGAGGCAGCCATTGATAGATGGACTGCGCTCCCGCCAGTCGGTATCGACGTATCCATTCCCGCGCTGATAAGTACGTTTCACTGAGAATAGAATACCGATGATCATGAGTTGGGTTCAAGTGACTTGAGGACGGCAGAAACTTAACCACAGCTTCGTTCAGATTTTCGTTCAAGTTATTTAAACTGATGGAAGGGAGGGCCTATGTGATTTTATTGTGATATGTTCTGTCCCAGAGTCATCTTCGTTGTCGGCGAACTCCGAGTCACTGGTCACGCAATATGGTTCAGCAGCCAATCCGGACATGTTGGCACTTGGCCGTGGATTGGACATGGGAGTAGGCGTGGTGGTATGGACTGGGGCTTGGTTTGAGAGGATGGAAGGCGGCGGCGGCGAGAAGGCATCGGAGTGTTGTACAGCTATCCACTATACTACTAGTAGTGCAAAAACAAAGATTTCAGGCATGTATAGATACACACCTTATCACCGTATCCAGTGCCAGTAGTAGCTATGTTGAACGCTGCGAACGAGACCCATCAGGCTCCCTCACAAATGAAACAAGGCACTGCCATCAGTACTGGCTCGATAGCGGATGGTTCGCATCTGCTACACTTAGGTGATCGACACATGTTTACGGCAGACAAATAATGGATTAGCACCTCTTAAGTTCCAGGTGAAATCACCGCATTTTGGACTTAAGTTTTGGCGGATCTTAAGTCATATCTTTGTATCATATAGCACTATTAGCTGGGATCACGATCCTGCCCCCATGCCATCTTGAACTTAAGTCATAATAGAGGAATTTAAGTTCCGCGAACTTAAGACCTGAGATCAATCAACTTAAGACTTCGCAACGTAAGACTTGAGCAGAAAAACATAGAATTTGAGATCTGAGAATACATATAGTACTTAAGTACTTGAAGAACTTGAGTTATTTAATACTTAAGACTTGAGTCGCCGTGAAACTTAAGTTCTACAGTCGCTTCAGTTGTGTCCTACACAACTCAAGTTCTGTAAGGTCTATCTTCAGTTCCGTGGTATGGTTGAGACGAACTTGAGACTCACAGATATCAGTTCTCAAGTCAAGTTTGCACATGGAGTCCAAAACTCGAGCTCAGCAAGGTGGCATGAATCCCTGAAATGACATTGATATTGCGAAGGTATGAAGTATTGGGACACTCACGATGATGGACAATAATGTGTACCTATTGGGATGCACAGTTAGTGTCTGATTTTGTAAACACAAGTGTGGCATACCATGATGCAGCCACAGTGCCACAGAATACTATAGAAAGTCCAACTCATTGACAGCCAGAGGTCTGTCAGAGGTTAGTAGAACTGAGCTTTAGCTTCCAAAGGCTACCTGAATATGTGAGGGTGAAGTGACAGGCAGACAAGCGAAGGGCATATCGAAGTTTGCATCAAGTCGAAATGATTGGTTGTGGCGTGTTTGGTGATCTCTGCCACCGTGATTTGCTGTCACGCGTTATTCAGCAATCACCACTCTCTTCTCTTCTGACTACCACCAACCAATGCGCCAAAACAAGCAACTAGCTGTGTAGCCTGGCTGCAATGGCATTTTTTGCACTCAGGTGGCCATGGCAGACCCCCGTGTGGTTCTACATCTCTGGGCCATCATGAAACTTGTGCCACTGGCTCATGCCACCCGCCAACACCGGTGAGTACCCTCCTCAC